TTTTAATCGCATCGTCCTTGATCTATGAGGACCGAGTATTTTTCTCCCAAGAGCACATTCCGCATGAGGCAGGAAATGTATTAAATTAATAAATAAAACATATCTAGTTATGAAAGCTTAACATATCTGCTTGTTTTTGCCCCATAGTCAAGGCAGTTGTGAAGTTGTTTTCTCGAAGAACGCTGTGAACACCGCCGCCTTTTGGTGGAGGTCACACCTTTTTGTAAATCATTTCTGCGAAACTCTTGATGTTTTGCTGATTGATTATTGCTGTTATTGTGTGAAATGCATGAATACAAACAAGATGTTATGTAGAAATATTACTGGGGATACACAAATGATTTATAGGATTTTGTATAGGATTTGGATTAAATTAGCCTAATAAATGCCAGTAAGTAAATTCACTAAACTAAACAAATTTGGCTTCAATATGTTTTAGTTATCAAAAATAAAAAAAAAACAAAAAGCTTAAATTTCACAACATCAAAGATAAGATTATTAGAAGAAATTATGTAACGTATAAACATAGTTCAGTCAATAAAATACTCTGGCGTCATATCCACATATTCTACGCACTCCTCCTCACAGCCTTACTATTACAAACAAGGTTGTCAAGAAATTAAATTTGTCATCGATTACCACACGGCAAGTTTCCACCTGTGTTTAACGCGTATAAACAGGTCGTCGCTCTCATGTGGGTTCGGGTTTGTCGAGTAACCATAATAAATAGTTAGACCGGTGATTGCGGTCTTCGCCGACACCTATTTGAACTGGATTACAAAAACGCATCGACAACGTCCCCGCAATTTGGATCGCGGCGCCCAGCGAGATCAAGCAGTAGCCGATTGTTAAGTAATGAAACCGATTACGATGTAGCGTCGCGTCCAGTGCCCGGGGCTGCGATCGGACAAAAACCATTGTAATTTAGATAGGGAGAAAGCACGGGATGGGTAATGTCCCGCCCCTAATTGGGACACATTCCTCGGTAGTCGCTACCGGTGGCCTTGGATCCCGGGGTTTGGGATATGGTTTGATCGGTGGGCGATCTAGGATGGGAGGGAGTAGAGAGACAACGTGGAGATAATCGACTGGGCTTATGTAGACTAGCGTGGTAGACATGATGAAGTAGAAATGACACAGTGTGAACATGGCTGAGGATTTGCTGGAGAAGGTGAGATATCAGAAGAAAAGAAATTACAGAAAGAAAAACAGTGTACAGTATGAATAAGGAAGATTTTAGGTAAAAAACATTTCACTGTGTCAAAAATGGAAGAGATATTAGAGGAACGTCAAAAGGAGGGTAACAAGGTATTTATGAGTTAATTGAGAAACATAATTTTAATTTGGAAGGGATTGGAAAACGAAGTGGGTTACAGGGAATCGCAACCACGGCGTCGAAAGCGGAAGCATAGCATTTTGTCCTGCCTGGTGATGGTTTCTGTCAAAACAACTTGAGAGATGAAATTGAGTAAGGTAAATGTGGCGTTTACAGTGAGACTGAAATTGTCTGTAATCCCTCGTATACAGTTATTCAAGATAATGTTCACGAGTCCCTATGGAAAAAAATCATTCACACAAAATCGATCCGAGTCCGAAACCTCAATCAGTTTTCACTCGTGTTGAAATACAGTTTTCACTTACTTACACATCAAAACACAAGATGAAAACCCACGTAGCGCCAAAACCGAGGCCCTCTGCGGAGGAGTGTGCACCTCCTGATTAACATATTTAGATGCAATCTGCGCGCCTCTAATTATTTATACAGAACTGTAATGGATCCACAAATTACGGACGTCAGTGTTCACACGGTAGGCGAGAAGAGGATAGGCTATCAGATGTTTTGCATATCACCCCCGTCTCCTCCCTCCGGACCAATTAAGCCCCAGCGGCTCCCGAAACCCGCGAGGTGAGCGTCGAGTGGGTGTCTGGGTTTATGGGAACAGCTCGGATATCGTCTGCAACTACTTAGCATACTAGCGTGGTCCGGGCTTGGTAATTGAGTTGCAGGGTCCAGATGGGCTCGTGGACAACTTCAACTTTATTTAGTCAGAACGATCTTCAAAGAATGTCTTTTGGTTTATAATGGTATACTTTAAGATTCTGTTTGAAATCGTGTGAATTCCTTTGCTTTTTAAAACTCAAAATCAGGCAATATTTAAATCACTGCACATATAGGTAGATTGGTTTTATCCTTTGAATGGAATTGCGTGAGAAAGAGTTAGTTGTGTCAGTAAACAGAGTTTACAGTTCCTTCATGTTTAGCAAATAAATTTGACGTTTATTATACGTTTGCAAGTCTTCAGCTCTTCAGTTGTAAGCAATAACTTTATAGCATAAAAAAGCATGAGGTATAGATTCAGAGATTGAATTGGCCACGAGAATTCAATCACAACTCTGCCCAGACCAACTTCTCAGGCCCGATGGTCTCTACAGCAGATACCCGCGCTTTTTGCCCCTCTGGTCCATAAGGCCCGGGAATGTCCCCAATTATCCCCAGTAGCCATGCCTCACGGCTTATCAAGCGTCAATTATTGTCTCGGTAATAATTGGACAATTGGTTTGTCTTGTATCTCAGATAGACATCGCCGGGCCGATCCTCTTTGTTCTCTGCGGAATTTAATTAAGAGGTAGTCGGCCGGCTAGCGCACTCTATTGTGTATTCAAATAAGCTACTTAATTGGCCCTTTGATTTTTACTTCGACGCCTGGTAGGACCGCGGCACAGTGGCGGTGATTCCAGAAGTTTTCGTTTGTCGCTACCAATTATGCCTAATTGATGTGTGGTAAACCACTGTGGGTGGTAGGGGAGTCTGTTGGAGTTTACAGAGAGGATTTATAATCTTATGGAACCGTAAAGGGTAAAGTTCATTTTTGAATACACATAGCATGGAATTCTTCTAGGTACAGGTTTACGATTGATGTCTTTCTTTTGTACTGCAATGATGAAATTAAGATTCATCTAGAAAATTGAGGCAAGCACATCCCATCCCAAGGTGCTCAAACAATCATATTTCTTCAGTCTTCAGTGTAATGTAAAGTGAAAATGATATTTGGCTTGCACTCAGATTAACCAATGCAAAGCAAATTCCTCAATTTTCACACTTTACGTATCAAATCTTTCTCGGGAAGACATTCTCTAAAGGATGTATCTGAATATGCTAGATATTTTACTCAATATTTTCCAGTTAACTGATAAACATATAGCTATCAGTAATTTTTGGTAAAACTAAGCAAAACAAAAATAGTCTAGAAATGCGCCCTTGTGGTACACCTGCAACGATACCACGACTTGACGGACCACGTACAAGGTCATGAGCAATTAAGGTTCGTGCGATCCCCCTATAAATCAGGACTTAAGCTAGATTAATTCGGGTTAAGTCTCCGCTAACCCGGACAACTGCACTTTGACCTGCGGCCTCTCTGCTTTAATTACAACCACAATTAATTCCCTTCGACTCTCATTCATTCTCATAAATCCTCGCCAGTTTTGCTTTCTCGATAATTGCCAGTGTGTTGAAACGGCGATTGAAAGTTGACTGAGGTTGTATCCAAAGATATGTGCATTACGTGTGGTGGCACTAGGTGTGTTGGAATATTGAAATGTAAGGTGGAAAATAGTGTAAAATCAAGATTCTTATTATTTCATAACTATTTGCATTGTTGTAACGTTGTATAACATTGTTGTACAAAATATATATTTTGTAACAGTAAAGAATACGCTATAAAGATATTTAACAAGAAACCATTGTACTATTCAATTTTAAAACTCTTGCCACAATATCAATTTTTGGTACTTCAATGCTTATTTATAATTGAAAGACCCATGATTTTTAATTATTACATGAGATTTTTCCAATATGAAAGAAGTAACGTGTGGCTCTAACATGAACTTAATACGATACTAAAATATATGTAAATGAATGATTTTTGTCAAAATGGTGTATTTTTAAATATTTTACTCATCGGATGTTCTTATAGAAAAATCATAATTATAAATATCTTATATAAGAATTTTTCTCCTGACGATTCTACTGACTTAACAATTCCTAAAACGAATTTTGCAATGCATGTCCAAGCATCTGTAACAACCCACCTGACAATAGGCATTAAATTTTTTTAGCTTGAGAATTGAACTACTCTAGCCATATAAATCCATTCACTCTGCTTCAACTGTGTCAACAATTTGAGTGGTAAAAGTGTGCAATAACTTTACAACGCAGGGCGTATCAACGTACCGTGAGCCAGTTATTGAGAGGTACACTATACGTTGGGCCTGAGGCGCGGCTCCCACACATGTTGTGAGTTATGCCAACGAGTAGCGAAACAATAATTAAACAGGGCTCATAAATCTGACGGCTACCTTTTCTGCCTTATTGGTTTTGATAATTGCCCCCTCCCTTCGTTAGAAGCGAGGCTGGTCTAGCGGAAAACATTGCAGCAGTAAGTTCTCTCCTACGCGGGAAAGTGATCTAAAGCGGATGTAAAAGTGGTGACTCAGTTGTGTGATAATTCAAAAGCTAGTGAATAAATTTAGGATCGCAATAGTAGTGCAATTTGAGATGCTATGTAGCAGAAAAGTTATTTTTGGGTGATTACTACAAGGGTTCTTGAATTTTAGGGTGTAAACTTTCTTGATCATCTACACCTAGGTATATTTATAAAGAAGAAGCAGCCATGCAAACTTTCTACAAAATGTTTACAGAGTTCTAGAGTTTGAATGGCATTGACTTCATACTCCATACTTATGGAAGGATCCCTTCGCTGCAATAAAGATTTCTCAAGAATTTTGCTGATATTCCAGGATGAAAATTGCAACAATGACAAATTCTTGTTTTCGATTCTTGTGTTAGTTCCAACAATTTTGGAAGTGGAAAATCTCAAAGGTACACTGATATGAGTATGAGGAAAATGGTCAATTTGAAATCTTCCGCTACACATTTCTTGGTGTGATCATGCCTCTGCGAAGTGAACTACACCAGCACCTGTATAAGTAGTACATACCTTGATATGCGTCATGCGGTGGTAGTAGAGGTTGCTGCTAGCAGTGAACCGCTTCCCGCAGACTTGACACTGATGTGGCTTTTCGCCACTGTGGATGCGTCTGTGAGTGTTGAGACTACTCGAGGTGGAGAACCCTTTGTTGCAGACCATGCACACGTGCGGCTTTTCTCCTACAATCCCAAGAAAGACCTTTCAGTTTTTGCATAGGTAAAAATGTTCTATAATATTGTGTAAGATAGTTTGAGTCCATTGTAGTAGCTTCTTCACTGAATTCATGGATTTGGAATTGTAAGTTGGTGATAAATTTGAAAATTCATACGCCAGCTATATTTCGCTTTAACATATTTAATTACAGTATTGTCAATATACATTGAGAATGATTTGTGTATTAAAATCTCTAGGACCAAATCATATAACGATTTCTTAGGTTTCTTTGGAATATATTGGTCTTCAATAAACTGTGAAGAATGTCTTTAAATCCTATTTAGACGAGAACCAAGATTAGTTAGTACTCATATAACATTACCTGTATGTGTTCTCATATGCCTCTTGAGCAGTGACGGCCTGTCGAAGGCTTTTCCGCAAACCTCACATGGAAGTAACGTCCGCTCTCCTCTAGCAGGCCGCTTGGGTGACGGTTGAGGGCGGAGTCCGGGTGTCTCAAGGAGCAGGTCGCCGGCCGTGGACGCCCCTGAGGACTCCCCAGAGAGGGACTTCCGCTCGTCTGTGTCCAGACCACTAGGAGGTGACGACGCCGTAGAGGACGAGGAGGTGATGAGAGCTCTGGAGAGCAACGACATGGACAAATCTAGAGGAGAGTCTGTAACAAAATGTGGTTTTGACAAGATTGTTTGATTTGAAGGATTAGGATCATTTAATTGAAAGAAACGACGCAGTAGGGAGGATTTAAATTAAGTTAGTATACCCTTAGAAATCAAGGAAGCTTGTTTTGTTTTACGGACAACTCTTTTCAAGACTTTAGTGCGTTCGAAATGTACATGAACAAGAGACAGATAAAAGTGACCGAATAAACCAGATCACAACAAAAAGACAACGCTGCAGAATGTTCAAGCTGTAAAGATTCGGCGTAATTCCCTAAGCACAACCCGGCCAAGCTGTGGACATCTGCGTTGTGCAGAAGCCGCAGAATCTACATAATTATCCGATTTGCGGATGACCGACTGTCCCGACAGGCCTCGTCTTGGAGTCGCACCGAAAACGCAAACGCGACCCAATAAACAATCTCCCCTCCCCTGATTATTTCTTTGCGGCCCATTGTGCTGTCCCGGGTAACTTATTCGGCCCGTCCGGCGCGCGGCGCGCGGCTCGCGGCCAAAACGGTAGCCAGAATGTCGACTATGTGTCCCTACGTTTCGTGAGACCCGCTTTGGGCGACCGACAAAGTGCCGCCCGCTGCCATATGGGCGACTCCTCACACGTCCACTGGTGAGATCTGCGAACGGGTTTTCGTTCGTTACGAAGGAATTCACTTGTGAGCGTTTAATGTTTTAATTAGATTTTTTGGGGTTGACAATTATTTCATGCTTTTTTTGGTAAAATTTCTAGCTCTGCAAGTTGTTTTGAGTAGGTGTTAGTAAGTAGCAGGATTGGAGGTATAATTGAATCTCGGTTACAAACGCTAGATATATAAACCCTAGAAGATAACTGGCTTTTACACACACACATTTTCAATTGAATTAAACATACCTATTATAGTTAGGACCTTTTTAATCATCGTACAGGGATCTGTCTCCATTAGGTTCACACCCTATTTATCCGCTTAAAACTAACATATTTAATTTTAAATTAATATTCGTGTTCGAATGTAACATTATTGGGATTCGCAACATCACAACCATTTTCTTATGTTTAATCCATTCTCCTACTAGTTCGTTCTACATAACGGCAGATACACTTTGATTGTTGATTTCTTTCTACGTCTGTAGTCCATACAAGCACATACTAACCTTAGCATGACCCAATCCATACAATCACATCCTGAAAAACAACCCCCCGCAAATCTACTACAAAACAAACTAGCAGCACAAACAGCAATGTAAAGTAAAGTAGCCGCGAGGATGAATGGCTCTATAACCGGTTACCTATCACACTAAGAGCCATCGGACATTCTAAACAAAGCATTTATGTGTAGCACCGAGAGTTTAGCGCAATTACAGCAGAGTCGGCCGCTTTGACCGGTGAGTAATGTCGAATCCCTGTACCGCATGATCCTATCACTCAAAGGATGCATATTCAGCCGAGATAACCGAACATTCCCGCACACAAAGGGTCCGACCATTGTCATTGTGAGAACTCGGCTGAATAATGAGCTACAAAGTAGGAAGGCTGTTCGGTCCACGAAAAGGTCGTCCGTTTTTGGTGAGGTTGTTCGTAAAGCGGCGTAGTGATGTTTGTGTGTTATGAGATGTATGAAGTTTAAATGATTTTTGAGATTTCAAAAGTGGTAGGGTATAAGTACGTTTTGGATATTTGGTAATGAAGCATATCTACAGTAACATTAAGTGTTGAAAACTTACCAAGTTTTTCTTAAGTTCCATATCTTAATTTTTTTTAATATAAAAGTTACCAATAGAATCTTCTAATGAATATTTTGTAAAGTAAATTATTTTAATCATACCATGTTAGGTGAGTTTTTGATGTTACATTTATCTCATTCCTTTGAGAAGTTAACTTTTACAGGTTAGTATTACAAGACGTAAGAGAATTAAGTTAGAAAAATTCAGTGTCCCTTCTACATAGAGTTCATTGTGGAGTTATTATAAACGATTACTCTAATTAAATATCTTAAATACAAGTCAACTTAAACGACGCAATAAGTATTCTAGTATTGAACAACTTAATTTCCTTATTATCAATTAGTATTCACATTGGCAGAAATCTCGTGACAGCAAAGGTAATAAAAGTATGTGTCAGCAATGGTTGAAGATATCAGTCAATGCATGATTCCAGGCCACAATGTTACACGACTACGTATCATGTACCTGATGGTGTACTTAAGCCAACCAGGTCAGTAGCGCCCAGTAACCAGGCGTGACCACACGTTACCGGACCCCGAAGATGAAATTAATTTCAAATCGGACAGACGATACTCACGTCCACCCGTGGCTGGTCCTGTTAGGCTATTGTCCGATCTTCGATTGATTTGCGGACACCGTTACGGGAATTCAGTGAAAAACTGTGCTTGAGACTCGTGCAAGAATGTCGCAATAGACCCGTCATCGGAGACTGCGACGCGCGGTTTGACAGAAGATGTGCATCGCGCTACATCGGTGCATTCCTTAGTGAAGGCTGGAGGCTGGATGTAACTAGTTGGTAGAATTGAAAAAGTGGCCTACTGTTGCATTCGTGTGATATTGTGTATAGTTTCTTATTTATGTAAAATTTCCACCCGTAACAATATTGAAAAAGTTGGTTTTCGATAGTGGTCAAAAGTACACTGAAGACAATACGGGTAAATGACGAAATTTTCCTATGACTAAAAATTCAGAAATCTCTCCAGAAGTGTGGATTTACCATGGGATGATAAACGTGTTTACGATTGTAAGTAATCCTCCAAGATTTGAATAAATGAATTGTTAATTCCCTACTATACACATGTGCTCCATTTATAATCCTTCTAGACAAATTAAATCCTGATTGGTGTTCACTTTCAAAGAAGGTTGAGAAATGACACTTGCTTTCAGATTGTGTATAGAATCGTTTTTTGAGGACAGCTTAAGCTTAAACAAATTTTTTTTAATATTTTGAATGTTACCTTTGTTATTGTTGTTAGTGTACTATTCTTCTGTAAAGGCTTCCATTGCACATTTTCCTCAGGTAATCTTACAATAATAGCTTCATTGGTCTGGACAAACAAAGAGAGATGAACTATTGAAGCGGAGGCGCACGTGGCCGAAGTGATGTCCAAGTTTGATGAAGGGGGATCATAATTGCCACCGCAATTCCCCCAAATCGGGTTTATGATTACAAGATTTTGGTTGGATTGCGGCTCCGTTACCAGGGGACATTAGCAATTACAAAACTAAGTTTACCAACGGAAACGAACTTGCGGATCTGTAATGGGGGACAGCACTGGACACCATTTTGGCCAGAATAGTCAATGGCTTAGGGAAATGAAGCGGTGGGATGCAATTTGGGGGATCCGCAGAGTCGAATTGACATGGAGGTTGGTGGTTTGAGACAAACGACGCTGATTTGTGGTGCAATTTCTACAAAATTGAGTTTTTTTATTCTTTTTAAGATCTCGGAAAAGGAAACACAGAGAGAGAGAGGCGCACACAATGATATAAAACACAATACTCATTCAAAAACCTTTATCGTAGATATTTTAGGACAACATATTATCCAACCGTTGGTTATGTTGCATAGGAAGTCAGTGGTTACTTTCATGAGTATCTAATTTAGAAAATAAAAACACGGCACTTAAGGGTTCTACTCGTTTTATTAGGTAGTCTCCTTTAAAAGGATCATGGGAAATTTTTTAAATAATCTTATTGGAATGTCGATTACTAAAAATATACAGAATGGGTCAAGAATAATATTTCTTTATTGTACTGAGTGTGTTGGTGTCCTTAGCGTTGTTGTTAAGAAAATAAGTTACTACAGTATTTCTAGTAAACGCAATACTTTTATGGGTTACATTTATACATATTATTTAAACCCCATTTCTGTAGTTTTACAGTTCGACAAAAATCTAAATAATACGTAAAGGGAGCAATAAAGTAAAATCCAAAGAAAAAAACCAGTTTCAAAAATATTGAAAAATAGGCAGCTGATATTTTTGAACACCGTCGTGGACAATGAAATAACCAATCAACTAAATTCATCGGTAAAAAAATTAGCAGCCTCTGACCAGTTGTTGGACACAGTAGCCGTCCCACTCCCAGCCCACACCATCGTCCGCACAGAGACTCTCCTATGCTTTATGACTTTTCGGTAACTAGACCGATTTACAACCTGCACATCTATCTTCCGGGGAAATTCTACGCGACAAATTGATAACCCGAACATAAATCGTGCTTTTTCCGACTTTATTTGATATTCATTATCGACATAAATTTACGCCTCTGCGCAGAGTGTTCGTGCCCCATGAATAACCTCGTCCGCACACCTCGCATGAACATGGAGGTTTTATGGGGGAGCAAACAGATCGGTACATGGGCTTGTCGCTACCGTCGATGTGAAGATAGTGGTGACAACGTGGCGAATAAACTGACCGAGTGTTTTCTATCGAGTACAGAAATGTGGAACAATTGGGGTTTAGAAATTCCAAGGAGTCACTGTTCAAGGTTGTTTGAATAAAATTCCCTTAACTATTGCTAGTCTAACGTGTCCTAGAAGTGTGACGTTTCCTGTAAACACTATACTTTTGAACAAATCTTATGGCATGTTTTGTGTTCAGATTGTGTCATCATTTGAAATTTTTGTCATTTGGAATGTTCTTAAAGTGTCACAAAAGTTATAAGACTATGATGTAATTAAAGTAAGAAACTATTTTTAGTTGTACAGTAAAATGAATAAATGACGGTTATGTCACCTGTTTACAACGTCACGGTTAATAAATTGATTATTTTTAAGGGTTTGCTTACAAAATAGACGCCAATTATTCATATTCACATAACGTTCAGGGTATTGGTTTTGTTCAAATAACTTTCGTTTAATATTCAAAATATCTTGTTATTTTTATGTCTGAATTACATAATAAAGTTACATTGTGTTTTATCTAGTACCTGACGTTGTTTGTTTTGGTATTATCTACACCCTATTTAGAAATAGTGGATATATAAATGAAGGGTTATGGAATGAAGAGTAACGAAATAGGTCCTTTCAGTTACGAGTATTTTTAAATTTGTTCATGTATGCTAGCTCAGGTTCACAAATTGATCGTACTAAATAGCGATAACAAAATTTACACCATAGTATAGTTTTAAGGGGCTTACCAGCCAATCAATTTTTAGGGGGTTTCAATCTATTTTACAACTTTACACTACTTTCCCATGGGTATTGATAAAACGGAACATACCCTCCAAAATTGTGTCCATGGTGCGGCGGTAGAGAGAGTGGCGCAAATAGTGCACAGCAGGCATGAAGAACACCTCTTCGGGCCTCTCTGGCAAGTAGTATACCACAAGCTCGGAGTGAGCGGGGATGGTCTTGACTGCTTCGTATATCGGCTCTCCTGCAATAAATATACATACACGTATATTTATGAGGTAGATTTGAACACTAAATACTATTTTTATGTCTGAAAAGTCTCTCTTTGATATTACAAGTTATTTTACGTATAAGGCTGGCTGTACTTTTATTAGGTACTTTCAGTTACATCAAAATGATTTAGATGCTGTAGATACTTGTCCAAAAGAAACTTTGGGTTAAAATTATGTATTATAAACGTCAAAGCTTAGGTTTTAGGGTATTTAGCTATAGAATTTACTTTACTGATTTTTTTTTTCAACGATTTCACTATCTTTTTTGAGTATTGCCCTTTTTTTGACTACCGACTTTATAAATTTAGGTACTTCTCAATTTTTACTTATAATGTATTTTATGTTTTTTTTAAACGGCTGTAAATGGTTTATACAGTTGAAATAGTCGTTTAATGTGGTAAAAAATTCAATATTAGAAGTTGTTTTATGATTATATTGCAACATTTTACAAGTCATGTATTTCACATTGGAGATATAATAAAAATGTGACCTTATATTATTTAACCCTTGATATTTGCAACGTAATTAAATTGTGTTAGCTATACACAATGTATATTGAAAACACAATATCCTAATACTCCTATTACCTATAGTAATAGGTTGTACAAACTAATATTTTACGAATTAGGAAAATCCAGTTTTTGCAAAGAACGTAATATTTGCTTTTTAACATAATTAATTGAGATTATTCCCAGTGCTCCATATGGTGCTGGCAGTATCTCAGCAGAACCAATTACTAGAGTAGCGCATGTTTATATTGCGGAGCGATTATCCGACCGGTAGCGGATCGCTCGTAAACCGATCATGGCGAGTTTATTGGGACCGATCATTGTAATTTGTCATCATAAATCGGACTATGGTTGACGCGTGGCGATTATCAGCTGTTCAACGAACCGCGGTGACCTTCCAGCGTCCTTGGATCAGCTGATTATGGTGATCACTGTTCATCGTGCGTTACCGACCCACGAATCCCAGCTTCCGGCTGGCTGATCTGTGAATCATGTAACTTCTAGCGGTTAATGCATACTTGTTGAGTTTCTAGAGCCGCGGAATGGATGATTCAGTTAAATACGTAAATTGGTTCTTAGGATAATGATTTATTCCTCAAGAATTTAAAGGTGTTGGAAAAGAGAAAAATGAAGAATGTCAAATGGTCACTTATTATCGTAGGCATAAGGTTGAAGATTGATGAATAAAAATGTTGGGTGCGGATAAAATCTTACTACAAACATTTTATGTTTGCATATAGCACTGATAACACTTTGAATTTATGTGCACAACAAATTAATTTGTTTCAAAGTTCCTAACATAAGATATTACACTAACCCTTTTTATGTGACCTGTACGAACATTTACTCGCAACAATATGGAAGGTAAAATACGGTACCTAGGTACCTCTATAATTTAAGAAAAATCTGCTCACTTACCGAATTGCTGTGCTTAAAGTATGGTCGGCTGACTAATAAGTACTCAAAAAAATTGTTTCTTCCAAATGATGCAGAAGTTCCAAATTATCGACTCCGTTTATTTTGGCCCAAAATGTGATTAAGAAAAATGTTCCTGGGTAGGTATATAGAAAGTTCCTCTTCAACCAAATAATTCCAAACGTGCTCTAACCTACCTTTGACTTTGGTGCCTATTATGTTGACTTCTTGGCTATAGGAGTTGGCAGTCCGCAAGAAGCGTACCCAGTTGCAATGTCGAACTCTTCGACGGTCTACCTCTGTGATTTCGTCATAGCAGCCGAATCTGTGTCGGATCTGAAACAGAAAGGGCGAAATGAAATTTTCACACTGAACTTTTGAGAAATTGTCTTGGGAAATTTAAGAGTTAGATTGAGAGAGTTTTTTTTTTATTTGGCACACTGGTTGCAAACTATTAAAGTTGCTCCACCAGTAAACAACGCTGACATTGTTTCATTGTTAGAAAAAGAACCACAAGAATAGTCGATCAGGGTTATTCTTGCAAAAATTGTTTAACATATGAATCCTAAAACCGCACCTACTAAATCTCAACCCTCGAAGCAATCAACGCGTCTCAGACGCAAGAATTACTCCATCGTATGTAGAGTGAACAGGTAACTATAATATGACCCGGCCTGGAACAAGACTACTGAATAAACCATACGTTCCGATTGACATAAACATCGTCTGTTTGATATACGCACTTGTGGCGTTGAACGCGAACCATTCCTCGCAGTAATTTATGCATCATGAAGACATTTGGACTACAAACGAGTTATCCGAATAGATGAAATCGCCGACGTTATTTATCGAACGGTAGCAACAACCGAAACGACGTTCGAGTCGTCGGCAACAAATCACCGGCGAAATAATTGCGACGAGGTGAGAAATCAATATAAACATACGGCGGTCGTCCGAGAATAAATTTCGGCTCCAATCTACAGTAGCGATATCGGCCGGCCGTAATGGCCCCCGGATAAATTAAGAATTCAATTTCGCCCCGACACAAATCGTTATCTTATCCAATTAAAAGAGGGAATAATTTAGTTGTAATTAAATCCTCAGATAGTGCTATTACCGGGTGTACATAGGCCACCGTTCCGTCTGGATCGGTTTATCTGGGTTTGTTCATTAAGAAGCTGCGCGGCAGCCATATTTGATTGGCTCCCGCAGTTACATTCAGGCGGTATTAGCTGAATTATCGTATTGCAATCTACCGTAGCCGAAACAACCTGCGTAGATCAAACTTTACTTATGCGAGGTGAATTAACTCGCAATAATTGGTTTTGTTTGAACATTATTTTCGTGAGACGTGCACAGCTAAATTAGATCAATCAATGAAGCGGTGAAAACACTATTCTTTATCTACAGAAAGTCTGAAATCCACTAATCAAAGTTAATGAGCATACAACCGACTGTGACAGTCGCTCGTTCTAATGAACTTCCTTAATCAGTACAACAATGAGTGTCTCCGACTATTTAACCCACTATCGAATACTTCCTTATCGATAAATCGATGTTTACAGCGTTCTCTGCCAATAACTTGACCGCAGATATCTTGCCAAGCCTTGGTAATGAACCAACCAAGGCCTTGGTAATGGAACAGAACCGTCTACCATAAGCTTGTTTGCGCACAAGCCAATTATCACATAATACCAGTGGTTCTCAACTATTATATCGCTTTCAACCATTCTAACTCAATCTTTACGCGAGAATAAGTGAAGTAAATGGGATTGGATTTCCTTTGAGTATTATATTTTTTATTCGTCCTTGATATGTTGTGGCGTTTCACAATGATGGATTACTCTACCGACTGTGTCTTATTCAGCTGTACCTTGTTTGAACACATTATTGAATTGTAGATTATAACTGTAATTGTATAACGATAATGGGATCAAATTAAGGTGCAAAGTACATAAAGTGAGTAGTATAAACTAGTAGGCTGCATTATAAAGCAATTACCCGGAAAATATAGCAAACACATAACGTCGTTAGGTGGGGTTTTGCAAGAGTTTATATATCAATGACAGTTGTTGTAAGGCTTGGTGTAGCTTTTATGAAGAAGGAAATCAACGCACGCTATAGTTTGAATAGTTTTTTATACGAACAACCAAATCAAATTCATTCATAATTTTAGCTACTTTTCATGTAAAATTAGTAACAAAGCCAGGGTTTTTCCTTCCTTCATACACTAAAGTGAAGCAAGAAGATGAAACTGGAGCAACCAACAAAAAATTGTGTTTCAAAACATGCCTAAGAATATGTTGATTCAAATACTCTAGCAAAGTATCTTAAACGAATATCCCTCACATAGGTAAAATCATTACAAGTTTTTGCTCCCTCAAATATACCACGAGAATCAAACAAGCTCCAGCCCAAAAATACAAAACCCAAGCATTTCCTTTGCTAAAAATATCCCTCCAAAATGGTGCAATCTAATCAGGTTGTAAAGGATCCCTCTCATAAAGCGACCAATCCAAGCACTTTGTAGTCTGAAATGAAGACATCACTCGGTTGCTTCGCTGAGTGATTGTGAACGTAATGAGTGACCGCCTCATAACGCGGGCCTCATAAACAGCAAAGTCTCGTAAACTGGCGGCTTTAGTGGGTCGAGAGCTCGTAACCAACACTCCGCTCCCTGATACGAGATATCTGCAGTTGGCGCAGAACAAATCAGGGTGACAAGCTCCAAAATTTAAAGTTATTTAGGGAGAAACTGAGTTGAACTCCTTAGGATTTGATCATAGCTGGGGGAAATCGAGGTTTGATGAGCCAATGAAGGAAGCTTGCAGACTATTTTTCTGAATAGTTCTATGAAAGTACTAACTCTTCGCCAGTGTTTAATACCTTTCTAAGGATATACTTAAACATAACACCATTACTGTGTCTTCCTCCTCCGCATAGCCTTAGCCCCGACTGGAGTGGGTAAAGAGTTCACCTTCAACTTAATATACCAAAGAAATCTTGTTGATCTCAAGGAAACACTTTTCATGATTCGATATTGAACCAAGCTTCCCTTGATATTGGGTTCTTAATAAATGACAATTTCAAAGAACAAGCTAATCTTAGTCTGTTAGACATATTATTACACTTCTCCATAGTTTAGTTTGGTATATGGTTTTTTTTCATTACCTTTTTCTAGCATGTAAAATGTCAGCTTGAACAATAATTCACAATTTCTTCCTTCAGTTTGACGACGCTGTGGTAATTCTAACATGCCATTCTCTCAAGAATTTACTTCTTAGGTACAATGTGAATCTATATTGCAATTTAAACTGGTTTCAGTTCTACACGTGGATTGGTGAATGAGTTTTGCAAAGTACAGTTTGCTCTTTGGACTCCGAAGCGGTTAATCGTCGTCTATACCAGTGTTCCAAGGTTCTGGTAGAGCACACAGCGCGCGGCAGACAGGAGCTCGGCCGGGGGCGGGCCCACTAAATCACGCTCGGCTGTTATTATTTATAAAGGGGCAGGGCTGAACACGCGCTGATTGGGGCAGCCTATGGGAATTGGTTCCGAAATGGGAACCTTCTTCAACGGGGTGAACACCTCTGTTTAATTGAAAACTGCTTCGGAAGAGGCGTGAGCTGGTTGAATAAAGACGTTGTGTGACCTTGGCTGGTCCATTCACTGTGAAGCTGAGGGTGGCTCGAAAGAAACACTTAAGATAAGTTAGAAGCTTAGGATTCAAGGGAAGATCATGCTGAATATGAAAGAGTGCTCTATATTTTGCTTGGAATCACTTGTGAACATTCTTTAATTGAGTTACGACAAGTTAGCGTCCTGAGTTTAGAATATATGAGAATATACATGTAGCTGTCCAGTTAATCCGGTAATGAGGTTTGTAACAACGATAATTCAGTGCAATAGCAGCTTAAAAGATTTCGTGTTTGTTGTTCAGATGACGTTATGAGGACATGGTCCTAGAACAGCTGATGTGAGATATTGGCTCCCTCACGAAAACAACAACTCTTCTACGTCAAGGGCCTCACACAAAACAACAAAGAAAAGCTATTCAATCGAATGAAACAGTACTCCCAGACTTTTCATGTTAATCCAACTAATGCTGAGTTTACTTGCCTTATCTAAGGCTTCTTCCCATATGGTTATCCAAAGCTTAAAAGTTCTTCGTGAAGATGAACCATCTAAAAGGAGTTTGATAGGAAAACGGGAAAACAATGAAAACACTCACTTCTTTTCCAATAGTTCCAGATAAATCTCACTAAAATACTTTCCACCCAACGAAACACACGGGCCCACCCACAACAGGGATACTTACCGTCAAAATTCACCCACCTAGCGAAATATTGCTGCCGTTGCCGTTATCTCGGTCGTACAATAAACCAAGGTGTCTGAACAGTCACGATTGCCACCTTGTTACGAGACAGGGTCAACTTGGCGGACTAATGAAGCCATTAGGTCTACTTTACTGGCGGCCAACTCCGAACAAGAACAATATCCTAGTGTGAACATGTGTATACCATTACGTGATTATGGACCATGGCTGTATAACTCATGGGAGATTGTTGTCTAATGAACAGATAACAATGGATTGATAACACACAAGGTTACGTCAAGGTTGATGGCGAGAGTGTGGCAGGATATGGGAGAGTGTCTTGGTGTGTGATGAAATGGTGAACTGCTGCTGGAATTGGAGAGCATCCTTTTATTCAGAAAAGCTTACTAAGGGTGATTACACACGGTGGGGTTGGAGTACAAAACAAATCAAACCATAGGCAGATTTTTAGTTATGTTTTATATGTTTTAGCGAATTTCCCATATAGGGATTCGCTATTACCGTAGTACTCATGGTAAGACCTGGACGCGGGACCAATTTTTTTTTTCGTTTTGAGGTCCCTAGAGGCCAAAAACACCATCCGTTCAAATTCATATATATATATATATTTATATATTTATATATATATATATATATATGTGTCCGTCAGCACGATAACTCAAGCAAAAATGATCCGATTTTGATGAAATTTGGTACAAACGTGTAAACCTACGTTTATTCGAACGAGTTCGCGATCCAGCATGATCGGACCATGGGAACGGGTGTTTACGGGGGGTTTTATGGGGTAAAAATAGGTTTTTCCCATTTTTGACCCAAAAAACTTAAAATTTTGCAATTTATTTCCAAACCATTTTGTAGAGCTTAAAAAAACAAATAATTTAGTATATTGAAGCGATATTGTGCGCCTAACGGTTACAGAGAAAATTCAAAAAAATTGTAAATTTAAAATTCCCATGTTATTCTTATGGAGAATAAGTAAACTGTTGTAGTTTGCTTGTTT